TTTTTCCCAGTTTTGATTCTGTCGTCCTGCTGTATACCTATAAGAGACTCTAGACATCTTTGGCACAGCTTCTAAGACTCCACTGCCTATCTCTTTTCAGTTTAGTGCATTTTTGGCAGATTTCAATCTTTAAAATGTTTACTGCAGTCATTCCAAGAATTTGTATGTTCACTTCTAAATTGTCAACGGTAAATCTGTTGGACTAAACGTTTTTGGGTTCAGATTTCTGTTAATTCCAGTTTTTATGTTTTGAGCCAGACTTGGAGGAAATTTGTTAATTTTTCTGTGTGTGTGTGTGTGTGTGTGTGTGTGACACTCTTGGAAGATAGGTGCATTCCCCATTTCTCCCCATTCTCCAGGTCTGCTCTGAATTCTTCACACATACCTGAATAATAAAATGCATTTTGCAGAGTCCCATTCAATACAGCCATTTTCATAACTGATCTCAGCTGTATAATTGAATCATATATACACATGTGTATGTATGTATGTATGTATGTATGTATGTATGTATGTATGTATGTATGTATGTATGTTTCTATATAAAAAGAAGCCTAGATAGTTTAATTATTCTTAAGCTGTACAATAAAGCCAGAAAAACATGGAAAGGCCAGAGATTAACAAATATTTAATTTAATCCAATGCCAAATCTTAAGGAGCCCTTCTATTCTACTTTATGTCAACTGTATATCCCTAGCTTCAAAAAAGCAGAGAGTCAGAGAGGGAATAGCTTGTGAGATGGGAAAGTTATTTGCAATCTGTGAGCCAAATGCAGACCCAGCTGTTCAGCTTTGAGAGAAGAGTGACTTATGAAGAAACTGGATCCTAGTGTCATTGGAGCTGAACTGCTGAGGTAAAATTGGAATCCCCTCTAATTTTTTCTGCTGTTGTCATTAGACTAGATGGAAAGAAGAATGAAATGCATCTGTTGCAAGCACAATATGTGCAATAGATGAGAGCCTCTTTTTTTTGTAACATGATGGTTCTTGATGCAATGGGTGGGGAGAAAGAAGTTTTAGCCTTCTGTTCAAACTTCACTGATTATTGTCACAACTCAGGAAGAATGGAAATTGTATTAAATTAACAAAAGACAAGATTAAAGGTGTTAATCTTTGCCTCTCCTATAAGAACAACCAATGAAATAGTAAGATGATCACTAATGAAAGTAACCTTCGTGCAGAATTTCTTTTTTGATTAGCAAAATGAAAGGTTAATCCACTGACCTCCTTTTTTAAAAGAGAAAATCCCAGTCTGACCAGCATTCTCAACCTTAGTAACTTTAAGATGTATGACTTCCACATGCTGTTGGAGAATTCTGGGAGTTAAAGCCTACACATCTTAAAAGTTGTTGAGGTTGAAACTCATTGAGCAATAGAAAAACATACAGCTCAAAGAAATTGTAAAACTGTCTGAAGTGGAAGTGAGTGTTTGGCCCTGTGACAGAGAGACTTTGCTTCGGACAGAGATCAGATGCTAGTGGCAGCTGTGAGGACAGAAAATAGCTCTTTTGAAGCTTTGCCTCTCTGCTGCTTGTTCAGCACCAAGTGATGAGAAGAACAGAAAGAAGCTCCGGGCATAGACTTTTATCCATACAGTGGATGTCCTAGCTAGCTACTGCAAGTTATTATAGATTACCAGCAAGTTTCCATTGTCCCAAAGTCAGACAATGAGAACTAACAGATTCCCCTTTTCTATCAAACTTGCATATTCTGTTAGGAATACATTAGAGAGAAACCATGTGAAATTTTTGGGTTTAAAGCATTACATGGATGTTAGATAGCGAAATGAGATTTGGTTTCAATAGATTGGCTTTAAGCTCCCTTGGCTATTGAAGGATAGAACAACTATATTTTGATAGAGCACCTTGACCTCTTTGCTTCTCCATCCTTAACAGGGCAACAGATGCATGAACAATGTATCTCCTTACCACACAATGGTTTAGGGTTGGTTTTGTGTGTGTGTGTGTGTGTGCGCGCGCATGTGTGTGTATATACAAATATAAGAGTCATAGCCCAGTGACAAAATTTTGTAAGCAGAAGTTTTACTTCCAGAGGTTCTACCCTCTTTTAACTTCTTGAACCTAAAAGAGTTTCTTCTAAGTAAGAAACTCAGAAATCTCACTAGCAGGGTTTATTAACATGAAAATAATAGTGATTAAAGAATTCCAGCAAGTAAGCTATTTTAAGGTGAGGATTAACAATAGAATCATAGGGTTTATGGATCTTGGAAGTGTTGAGTTTAACTCCTAACCAGGGCAGGAATGCTCAGGCCATCCCAGTCAAATGGCTGTCCAACATTTATTTAAAAGCTTCCAGTGATGGAATACCCACAACTCCAGAGGCTTGGCTATTCCACTGTTTAATAGCTTTCACAGTCGGGATACGAGTCCTTTTTTCCTATTTGGATCTCTTTTTGTACATCTTCCATCTGTTGGCTGTTGTTTTATCTTCAGCATGATGGACAATAAATCTATACCTTTTTCCCTGTGAGAGCATTTCAAATATCGTAAAACTACTATAACATCTCAAATTCCCCTTTTCTTCTTTAGGTTAGACATTGTTTTAATAATTTAATTTAATTTAATAATTTAATTTAATAATTTAATAATTAATAATTCCTCACAGAATTTATCCTTAGCCCCTTTGTCATTCTTCTCTGTATTCTTTCCAGTTCCTCAGCATCCTTCTTGTTTATGTCAATGAAGATTTGGGCAGTATTTCTGACCAGTACAGCCTTAAGCTATCACTTCCCATGATCTTAACACAACGTTTATGTTGATGCAGTCCAACACTGCATTGGTTTCTTTGTGAGCTACCACACACTACTGGCTCACACTTAATTTGTGATCTACTAGGAGGCTAGATCCTTTTCACAAGAACTACTGCTAAGTTAGGTACTATGGTACTATTCTAAATGTGTGCATCTGTTTTTTCTTTCCTTAAGTGCAGAACCTTACCTTTCTCCCCAGTGAACCACATTTTATTGGATAGGGTCCAATGTTCAAATCTATCAAGATATTTTTTAACTTGGAGCCCACTCCTGAGATATTAATAATCTGCTGAAGTAGTAGGGTTGTAATGGGATCGTCCTTCCTACTTTATCAAGAAAAATGTTATCAAATGCCTCACTGTAATTGAGGTACAGTATACTATATTCACAGCTTCCCTTTGGCCTACTAATATAGTTACTCTGTCATTGCATTTTGTTTGGCATTTTAAGAAACCTGTTTTGGCTTCATACCTTTCAAAATACATGCAGGCCTACTGCTTGAGAATCCTTTCTAGGATTTCCCCAGTTGCTAATGTCAAGCGGACTCCAAGGTTTACTATTTCTCCTTTTAAAAGACTGAAGCAGTGTTAGCTCTTCTCCAACGTTCTGCCGGTTCCCTTGTACTTCACAATCCTCAGTGATTACAGCCAGTGACTTGAGATCGCAACTGCCAGTTCCTTCAGCCCTTTGAGATGAAATCTATCCAGACTCCGTGACTAAAATTCATTCAAAGCAGCTGGATGTTTTCTCATCATTTACTCCTTTCCTATTTTTGACCTACACTTCTCTTATTCCACCCCATGGTGAGTTCTGGCAGGTTGGACTACTTTTTCCTTTTGTGAAAACAGAGATGCAACATGGGAATTAAGCAGTTCAATGGTTCTGTTGTCCTTTACTATCTTGTTATCATCGTCAAGTAGCAGATCAAGCTTTTCCTTGACTTTCCTCTTGTTCTGCATGCACCAAAAAAAATCCCTTTCTGCTTTTTCAGCTTCATTGCAAGCCTCAGTTAATTCTGAACCCTAGGTTTCCTAATCCTATTCCTTCAGATTATTTGCTGATATTTTGCTTCTGTTAAATATCATTATTACCATTTTTAAACATGTCCTTTTTGTTTTTCAGTTTATGACAATATTCTGTTCTCATATTGGTCTCATCAACTGTTTCCCATCTTTCTGTATGGACTTTAATGATCTTTTCCTTCCAGCCTTCCTGAACTGTTTTTCACTTCAGGATATCTGTCTATGGAATCCTTCATGCACTTTTCTCCTCAACATAGTAAACTCAGCTTTCATGAAATTAGTGTTCCTCACCTAGAATATCAATCTCACTAGTCACTCTCTCTCAAGGTTCTTACATTTCCTCTACTTTTTTTTCCTTATTAGAAAATATTAACTTTGGTATAGCTGAATTTCAGGAAAGAAATGGTGCACCAGAAAGAGGGTTCATCTAAAAAAAAGGGGGCATCTGCATCCATGGGTTGGTTTTAAAATGGTTGCTTGAACCCTTATCCTTTCATCCAGCTAAAGCAGTATTTGTAGCAAAGTGCTACAAAGTGCTAGGCCTGGTCAAAGTCAGGGGGAGTCCATTCTTAAGAGCAGTAGCACCAGAGGAAGAATCTGAGGCCTCACCAGATGAACTCATAGCAATTTTAGGTAAACCTCTTGAGATGATAACTTATTAAGATTTTTCTGGATGGAGGTCTGGATCTAAAGAGGGCCTTCAAGATAATGAGCTGGTACTTTTGGCTGGAAGTGAACTGGTAGCTTTGACACGGAATGTGGGAAAGCATCCGTGGAATATTTAGAAAAAAGTCACAGCCAAACAAAACTATTTTATTTGTGCAGGTGGAGAGTCACCATCCCATTTGTCAATCATTAAATGCAATACTGACAATAAGGAAAAAGTGTCATCAAAGACAGCACAATTGTGGGAAAATGCATTCATACCAACGATTGATCATGCAATTGTATTTTCAGCTGAGCAAAGTTCTTACCCTGCCTGGTTACAAGGCTACTACCTTTCATAGTCTAATGATTGTGGTATCTAATCCTGTGTTTTGATAGTTAATCTGCCCTCTTCAATCAGGAAAGTATACATGATAGTTACAATCAGCATTTGCATTAATAAATTCTTCTCATGCTACTGGGCATTGCCTTGGGGAAATTCATTTTAATTACAACTATGTGATGCCATTTTGATGTGTTTATTATTTTTTTTTCTCTTTGCAGCCCAGCTTGGAAACCCGAGACAATACTTCATGCAACTCTGATATTTCCCTGGCTATAAGGGAAATACAGTGAAAGGATTTCTTCCCTCCTAGCTCAAACTGGCACTCTGCTTTAAAATCAGCTATTGATTTCTTCACATATGGAAGCATTTCTCCAAACTGACTTCATTGGAACTTGTACTTGGCATCAACTCAAGAAGCAATAATAAATTTGAAACCCTTTCTAGATCAGATTTTTATTTTGAGAAGTTAAAAATGTGTGCTATATTGAGTTTTTCTCGGGTTTTTTTTTAACCGAATTCCTAGCTTTGACTAGGAGAAAAAGGTAAAACTCTCACCCCACTCCTTTATCTCTCTCTTTACACCCTTGGTAAGGAGGGAGGAATCTTCAGCTCAAGATAGCTAGTATAGATTTCTGAGATCTGAGAATGTAAATGAAAGTAAATATTGAAGGAACATTGAAGGGTAAGAAGTATAGCTGATGCTAAGGATTCTTGTATTACTCAAGCTTATCACATGACAAGAGATACCAGAATGTCTATTCTTGACCATAAGATGATGTTTTGTAGGTGGGAACATACCTTCTTAACTATTCTTAAGTTTCAAACATGAGAGCAATACCACAGAATTCTAAACTTAAGACTGTTTTGGTGCCACTCTATTTAAATATTGCCCTCAGTATTCTTTTTGGAATGAAGATTTCTAAGATGGTTTTTGTGGGGAGACCTGACTTGTTTCAGTTACGGTTCTCTGGCTAAAAAGCATTTCAGGAAATACCTTCTCCCAAAGTGCCTATCCTAATCACAAAGTAAGAGCCATCTTGGCTTGCTTTGCTTTATTTTTTTCTTCTGATGGCTTATTCATGTGAACAAACTAGAGCCTTTATTCCCTTAAGATCTATACTCCTCTCAGAGGTAGACATTGAAACTGGAACACTGCACTATCTCTTGAAATATTCTCTCTCTCTCTCTCAAAAAAAAAAAAAAAAAAGGCTAGAGAGTAAATGCAGGCAATTATCCAGAACATGAGTGGAGAGCCAATGTACCATTTGACCTTTGTCTCTCTTTATCTAAATAATTCTTGCCTTGAAGGAGACATGGGGTAATTGAGGTGCAGTTCTTACTGTAGTGCATTTAAGGAGATGAATGGTAGCTCCTGTGGACCAGTCATATCACAGGACAATCATTCACCTGCCCCCCTAAAGGCTGCTGATACCCTTTGACCTAGTTGAATAGATCCATTCCTGGAAATATTAATGCGTCTCTTTGCCTCTCTATTACAAATAGTATTTGCCACCCTGTGGGTTAAAAAAAAAAGGGCCATTATATCCTGCTTCTCCTAAGACTTGCATTTAGAAAACAGTTCTTTTCTTTTTTGTATCTTTCATCTTCCTTTTGCTTTCATCTGTTAATTTTTTGTGTGATCTGGAATGTTTGCTAACAATTTAATAAAAATTCTGTAAAACACAAATGAGTCCTATAGTGTCAGTTACATTGAGTCCAAACGTGAGGGGCTGTGGTTTAATTGGTTTATTGAATTAAAAACAAAAACAAAAAACAAGAGGCTGAGTTCCTCAGCATACCAAACCTGGATCATGGTTTACAAATAATTTGGTTCATACAATATGCTAATTCAAAATCAAATTAATCATAATATGGGAAGGTCACCATGTCTTATTAAGCCATTATCTTCAAATGTTTGACAATTCTCAATTTGCTCAACTGTGAATTTGAAGTAAATTCCAAATTACTGTAAAGATGTTTATTAGAAGCAGGAAACGTTGCATACATAATTAACAAAATGGGTTTTTTTAAACTAAGTTTATGTCAGATTTCTCCTGGCTTAAAATAGTATCTTTCACCCATCCAGCTCAGCTTAAAAAAATTCTGATTCCACCCCTCCCCCGTCCCCAAAATTTCTAGGAAAATTGAAATTACACACAATGTCTAAAAACATAGTAATTACAGCCTACACACTGGAGTAAATGATTCTCAGTCTTGATATGAGGTTTATATTAACAAAATTTCATTAAAATTGCCAGACTTCAATTAACTACTTAACATACTTGGAAATCAGCTACACTAATTTTTCACTTGAACCCTCTATAAAGATGTTTTATCTATTACCTGGGAACTAATCCAATTTACAATGTATACACTTCTGAGGATCATAACCAAGGTAAATGTTTTATTTTACATTGTTAAATATATTCAATGTTTGATAAGGTTGGAAAACTTTAAACTGGTAGCTTTAAAAATAAACTGAAAAAGCCTAAATAAGGATGGTAAAATCTTCTGCTATGTAATTAATATTATATTTATTATATTTTTTAAGAGAAGAGGCTGATTTCATGCTATAGCTGATGCAGATTTTTAACTTTCTTGAAATCCAATTCAAAGTGTACTGATCTCATTCCCAGTTATTTAGCCTTCTGATAATATTCTGCAAATCCATTTTCTCAAGATCTCAATCTTCTAGTTTAGCTAGAACCTGTATTCCCAAACATATAAAGAATATCTTTCTCCCTTTGAATCATTCTTCATGTAATACAATATTACACATCCAATTATTTTACTTTTACTGACTGGAGTGTTCTGGGTAGTACTTTAAAGCCTGTAAATTGAAGGTAAAGAACTAAGATGGAAAACCTGTATGGACTTACTAAACACATGACTTCCNTGAAGAAACTTGAAGATGGGTTGAAGTAAGTTCCCACCAATGGGAATACAGATTCCTACAAGCTCTCTAGAGCTTCAACACTGCAGATAGAAATATTGCCTTTTATATGATTTTAGATGCATAGAAGCTGAGCCAGAAATTAACTGAACCCTGCTCACAGCTGCTGAGCTGCTTTTAGATCAGTGAAAATATCTTAGTCTGAGTGATACCGTGTCTTCCATGAAGGTCACTTTCAAGGAGGTCCGGATAGCCATTGTAGGTAGCTGCTTAATAAAGATCTTCTATTGAGGGTCCTGCTGCATTTGAGCAAAAGACAAATCCAAAACCTCAAAGCTACCCAATTTACATGTGAATGAGACCAAATGATCACAGGCTGTCAACTAACTCCCATTAAAGGAGAATACTATGTTTCCCCAAAAGTAAGACCCAGTCTTACTTTCTTTTGGGTTCTGAAATAAGCACTAGGGCTTACTTTTGAGGTAGGGCTTATTATTTTCACGTACAGGAGGTAGAGAGCATGGGGGCCGACGGGAGAGGGAATGCTGCTACCGTCAGCCCCACCCTCTCCATCCTACCGTCTGCTTGCTTGTGGCCGCAATGAACCAAGATCTCAACATACCCCAGTCTCCACCCACCCCACCTGCTGGCCCTTCTGTTCCTGGGACATTTATCAACCGCAACAGGCGCCAAGAGGCTCCCTGTGCTGCTTCTGGCCTCACAGGGGCTCTTTGTCCTCCTGGCTGCACTGCTCTGGGCTGCCCTACTGGGCTGCTCCTGCCTGGCACGGGGAAAGTCATTCCAGATCTTCCGTTCAACCGCCGGAGCGTCCCCATCCTGCCAGGGCCCCTCGCCAACGGCCACCGGTGGAACCACGCTGCCTGCACCTTCACCTTTGGGCTGCTGAGCGCGAGCCTACACACCTACTCTGTACTGTAGTAGAGGCCAAAAGCGCACATTCAGCACGAGAGCAGCAGTGCCTGCCAGAGCTCAAAGAGTGCCAGGTTCAGCCCGTAGCCTGGCGTTTGCAATACCGAGTAGGCATGCAGGCTGGCGCTCAGCAGCCCAGAGTCAGAGGCACGGGCAGTGCGGTTCCACCGGCAGCCACTGGCGAAGGGGCCTGGCAGGCTGGCAGTGGGGGGTGCACTCCGGAGGTCAAACAGAAGATCTGGGACGACTCGCCCTGCATCAAGCAGGAGGGTGGCCAGGAGGACAAACAGCTCCCTCGAGGCCAGAAGCAGCACAGACAGCTGCTTGGTGTCCGCTGCAGCCAGTAAGTGTCTCAGAAGCAGAAGGGCCAGCAGACAGGGCGGGCGGAAACTGGGGGTGCCAAGGGCTTGGCCCACGGGTGCTGCTAGAACAGCAGCAGAGCTGCAACCAGAGCCAAGGTCAGGCAGGGCAGTGGAAGGGTGCACAGCAGCCGCATGGCCCATGCAGGGAGCTGCTCCTGCTGCCGCCCATCAGTCTGGCGGAACAGCAGCCTGGCCCGGGCACCACCGGCCCCCAACAGCAGCAGGTGCAGCTGGCTCAGCAGCCCGGCCTTGGTGCTGGTTAGGTGGCAGCTTCTGAAATCGATCCAGGGAAGAACAGACTTACTTTCTTCCCTTGTAACCCCTTCTGCAGTCCCTTAAGAGCCAAGTGGCAATTGCTCGGGGAAAAGGTAAAGGGGGGGATGAAATCTTCCTCCCCCCATAGCGCTCCAAACACTCCCAATGTCAGCTGGCCACACACCCCCATCTGGCTGATGATCTTACTGCTGCTAGGGCTTACTTTTGGGGGAGGGCTTACTTTCAGGGAAACACGGTATTTGTGGCTCAGGATTGAAATGAGGGGTCTTTGGTGCTCTCTGAGTGTGATTGTTTTCTTGCAGGCATTTCATTAACCAAACTAGGTAACATCATCAGTGCTACTCTAATGGACTAATCTAATCTAATATTGACTAAGCTGGAGCTGATGTTGCTAATGCTTTCATATCAAATGAAATCTCTGATTAAAACAATCAGGTAGTAGACATATTGAAGGATTTCTAACTGAGACTTTGGAGAGCCACCAATAACCCAAACACTAAGATTAATACTAAGCTGATGAGCCAATAATTGGACAATTCCAGATATTTTGTTTTGCAGTGACTTTTGCGTTGTGGCAAAGAAGCTCTGTTAAATTAATTGACATTTAAGAATTTACCTCCACTAAAAGATCTGACTCATAATGCCTGGTATTCCTCAATTCCATCTTTAGTTTCTTATTTCACACATCCTAGGATAACTAATCAGGGAGAACTCTTAATGGTAATAATGCATCACTTTATGACACTCACATTATTTTAAAAATAATGTTTGAATTCCTGGCACATTCCAGATTTCCAAGTTCTGTCTGAAGCTAGTAAAATGCTTTTACCAAAGCATTCGGGGGTTTTTTCTGGCTCAATGCAAAAGTAAAAAGTGCAGGCATATAGAAAATTAAGGTCCCACACATACACACTCACACACACAATAAGAGAAATAGGATTTGGAACCAAATTATGAGACAAATAGACCAATTCACACATCTGTTTTCATGTGTTCCATTACTTGGCACATCCTATTAGTGTTTAAGAAAAAAGGAAGTGATTTTATAAAACTTTACAGAAACAAGAATTGAGTTTATTGGCGGCACAATGATTAAGTGCACTGTCGCAGGTAAACTCTCCCACACCTGGAGAGGTGGAATATACTCAATTAAAAAACATACTAGAAGCTAAAATATATATATACAAAACTA